GGGCATCCGATTCCTGTTGAAATCCTGCCGTCTCTCCCTGCGCTGACTCGCCCAACTGTTCTGCTCCTGGCAACGGGGTACTGCCCGACTGTAAATGAATGCTTTGTAGGTTATTGGCCAGAACCTCATCTTGCTCCTGCGCCGAACCGTATTGAGACGTGGCCTGTTGAGTGCTCAATATTTGCAGCGACTCTGCCAGCGACTCGAGCGTTTCTGTCAGGGCTTCCTTCGCTTCCTCTGTTGAGTCTTCGTACTCCGCCTGCTTGTTGAACGCTTCGTCGAACTTGTCTGCGTCTTCGGCGTGTTCCGGATGCGATTTGTACTCGTCGAATGCACGATTGCATTTTTCAGCCGTCTCCAGGAGAGAAGCATGTAAACGATTTGCTTTGTTGTAGAATTCGCGGGTATTTACCCTAGCCTCGATTAGCTGGTGGCACTTACGAATCGACTTCGTCAGTGCTGTTCGAGCTTTCGTCAGCTCATTTCTCGAGACCTTAGCTTTGTGTGAATACTTTCCTGCTGCAGGCGCAGCTTGCCTCGGCTCTCCGTGCTCCATGATGAAGTTCAATGCTCCACGTGTTCGCCGACGGATGAGCGGGGATGATTGAAAGTCGAAATAATTTGTTCGGAACGCTGGGATGCGCTACGATAGCGTGAGGAGATTGATCTCGTTCCTTTGCTGATCCTTATTTGTCCGGTCTGCGGTAGGATTCTCGATCTTGAGCCCGAGTCCTTAAGCCTAACCCGACCGACGTCTAGGGAAAGACTGTTTCTCGTGAAAGCTCGTCCTATTTCTCCTGAAAACTCTTCCCAGTTCGGAAGCTGAGCTCTGGGCGGTGCTCCAGACTCTGAGTTTCGGTGAAACTCACTCCAGGCCGAACGATCGAAGCTAGTCAGTGACCGGTTTTCGACAAAACGCGTTTTCACTTCCTAGAAATTCTTCCTATCAAGGAAGACGAGCTCTGGGCGGTGCTCCAGGCTTTGGGTTTCGATGAAACTGCTCGCGGATCTCTGCCACTTATCTGGACGGTAACAACGTGCTGACTTGCGAAATTCCGATTTCCTCTTCGAAAGCTCCTTCCAGCCGGAACCGATGATGCGGGGCGGTGGATGGATGCCGATCGTCTGCAGGAACGTTGATTTCACTCCGGCGGTGCGAAGCAACCGGCCGGAAAAACTTGCCTTGGCACGTGGCCCCGATGAGACAGCAGAATCCGCGCTGAGATTGTCCGGTTGAAACGAGCGGAGCTTGGTTCAACCACTTCTGACACCAATATCAACTATCTTAAGGTTGCTAGACTGACACTCAGAATAAATACGACTCGGTTTCGGAGAAACTCGGCCGACGATTCAAGGTAAAGCTGCCCGGACAACGGAGTGTCCGCTAGCAGGTACACGAGTGTAGTGCCTCTCAGGCACGGGAACGTCATGCATGTACTCGTACCTGGAGAGAAGGAAGTGGAAGGGGAATCGCCGGCTCTCTTTATTCAGAGATCTCTTTACCTACGTGGCGGAGCTTCGTGACAATCTTCATATCACTGCTATCACTTTCGGACCCGTCGTACAAAGCGATACGATTGGTAATAATCCGTGCATTGGATGAGAAACCCGACATGTCTTTGGATGATCTTCGAGCAGTTCTCAAGCGACACGAGACACGTAAGAGTGACGCTGAGATCGATGCCAACTCCGGGGCACTCGCCAAGGAAGTCGGCATTTCAGAAGTCAAAGCGGTACAAAAGAGGAGTTTGTCGAAGCTTCGTTCTTCAACGAAATCGACGCAGGGATCGTGCTGGAGCTGTGGTGGAGATCACCACCGTCGGACATGTGAATTTCGTAGTTCGGTATGCCACACCTGCCGCAAGAAGGATCATGTGGCCAAAGTTTGCCGAGCTAGTAAGAGAGCCCAGACTAACTCCGTGCTTTCTTCGATGATTTCGGATCGAGAGCTGGCGGAAGGGCGCACGTTTGTGGAGGTCAAGGTTAACGACCATCTTACATCGTTCAGGGCGGACTCCGGTGGAGATATTTCCACGATTTCTACGGGCACATGGAAAAGCATGGGAGCGCCCGAACTCCAACCGTATGACACGCCATGCACGCAAGCGGATGGGTCAAGGTTACGTGTGGAAGGTCACTTCCAGGCGCTTCTGGAACACGGAGGTCGCCAGTGCAAGGAACACATCTTGGTTCTGAAGTCTGGCACCAATAACCTACTATGCGGGCGAGCTCTGAAAAATCTTGATCTGCTGAGCTGGAAGACCGATCTGGTAGAACCGTGTGTCGCTGAAGTAGCGTCCCTGTCGCCATACGCTTCGTTGCTCCAAAAGGAGTTCCCATCCTTGTTCGAGAAAGGGTTGGGCTGTTGCTCGAAGTTGGAAGTCAAACTCTACTTACATGAGAACGTCAAGCCCGTTCATTTGCCACCGCGTCCGATCGCCATGGCTTTCAAGGAAAAAGTCGATGAAGAGTTGGACCGCCTTCTGAACAATGGCACGATCGAAGCAGTCGAACAATCGAATTGGGCAGCTCCGATTGTGGTCATCAAGAAGCCGAACGGTACTCTGAGAGTATGTGCAGACTATTCTACCGGGCTAAATTCGGCGTTAAAAGATCTGAACCATCCACTTCCCAACATGGAGGAAATCATGTCAAGGTTCTCCGGGAACCAGGTTTTCTCGCAGCTCGACTTGGCGGACGCCTATCTACAGCTCAAGTTGGAGAAAGACAGCCAGCAGTTCACGACTATTTCGACGCATCGCGGTCTGTTCCGATATAAACGGCTGGTATTCGGCCTAAAGACGGCGCCGGCGATTTTTCAGAAAGCAATTGAACAGTCACTGGCTGGTTTGGAAGGGACGCTTGTTTATCTCGACGACATTCTCGTCATGGCCCCGGATCGCAAAACGCACGATCAACGCCTGCATGCCGTTCCCCGAACAGGAGCGGATCCAGCTTTTTTTCTTGGGGGGGCCAAGTCATATTTTCAAGGGGGAAAGAGCCGAAAATGATGACGCGCCACCTCGCGGCCCATGCTTTTGTATAGGGATCGAAGATTCTTGGGGGGGGCCATGGCCCCCTGGCCCCCCCCCTGGATCCGCCACTGTCCCCGAAGATTCCTAGAATGGGGTTTCCACTTGCGTTTGGAAAGATGCACTTTCGCCCGGAGCGAAGTCAAGTATCTGGGCGTGATAGTTTCGCGAAGGGGTATTGAAGCTGACCCAAAGCGAATTTCGGCAATTCAAGCAATCTCCGATCCGACGAACAAGAAAGAAGTTCGTTCCCTTCTGGGCCTCGTGAATTACTACGGCAAATTCGTGCCACATCTACACACGTACAAGGCCCCTCTCGAGAAGTTGCTTCCCAATGAGGTGACGTTCGAGTGGACTAAAGAACACAGCAATTGCCTCTCAGAAATCAAGAAAGTTCTTGCCGGCCCCCTCCTGCTCGCGCATTATGACCCACGGCAGACGCTCGTGGTTGCTGCCGATGCGAGTCCCTCGGGTATTGGAGGGGTGCTTCTGCAACGCTATGCGGATGGGAATGAGAAAGCCGTGTTTCATATGGCTAAATCTCTGAACAAAGCACAGAGGAACTACAGTCAAGTTGGAAAAGAAGCTCTGGCATTGGTGACAGCGGTAGAGCGCTTCAAAAGGCTCGTTTGGGGTCGTCATTTCATCCTACAAACCGATCACCAACCGCTCGTCGCCCTGTTTCGTCCGACCAACATGAAAGGCTTGTCAGAACGGACGGCGGCTCGCCTACAACGTTGGGCCTTGAGGCTCGTAGGCTTCGACTTCGATATCGAATATATTCGAACAGACCTCTTCGGGCACGCGGACGCGCTCTCTCGCTTAGTCCAGGAAGTTCGAGCAGGCGCTCGAGACTCGGCGCTCGACGAGGTCGTGGCCTCCATAGATGTTTCGTGCGAGACAAGTCTTCAAGAGTTGGTGATCAACGCACTTCATTCCACCGACTCTCGAAATCTGGTGGCTTCGCAGACAGCGAAAGATCCAGTTCTCGCAAAGGTCCTGAAGCGGTTGAAGGAGGGGTAGAGCCCGAGTGATCGGAAAGATCCCGTCTTGAGACAGTTCGCAGGGCTCTCTGATTCCTTGTGTGATTAGTGGAATACTCCTGTACGGTGAGCGGGTAGTGGTTCCTGCTCAGAGCTGTGCGCCATGGGATTTTCGTCGGCGGCGGCGGCGGGCTGGAAAACGGGCGGCGGCGGCGGGCGCCGCGGCGATTTTCGGCGGACCGATGAGCCCACGGCGCGCCGCGGGATAGGTGGAACGCAAGTTCGAAAGTCTTCTGATCGCGTCTCCTCATTTGTCGGGGATGAAATACTATTTGACACGTGCGATCTTCCGATGAATTCAAGTTTATTTGATCAGTCAGGGCTCTCAACGACCACGGAGCTTCGGTCCGAAACATCCCGTCTCATTCGAATGCTATGTTCCCGCATTCTCGTGCGAGCTCAGTACCTCGAACCGAGTTTTCAATTTTTTTTCCCGTGGTTTTCTGTTACTTTTCATGAGGATTGGGCACGGCGCGCCGGCGTTCCGTCACGCCGTCAGACGCCGTGCTCGGGTTCCGGCGGCGGCGGCGGCGGACTCCAGAGGTCGGCGGCGGCGATCGCCGGCGAATTCGTGACGCGGCGCACAGCTCTGTTCCTGCTACGGTCAAACGCCGCGTACTTGAGCAGCTACATCAAGCACATCCGGGCATACGGCGAATGAAGTCTCTGGCGCGTCTCCACTTTTTCTGGCCGGGAATGACGGCCGATATTGAGAAGTTTGTCAAAGCGTGTTCTCGGTGCTTGCAAACGTCGTCGGCTCCGATAAAGGTTCCGCTGAATCCGTGGCCTAGTGCGCTCAAACCGTGGTCAAGGGTTCATCTAGATTTCGGTGAACCTCGCAAAGGGCGGCTATTCATCGTCGCTGTCGATAGTTTCTCGAAATTTGTCGACGCGCAGTGGATGTCTTCCACAACTTCCGCCGCCTCGATCGACTATCTCCGACGGCTCTTCCGACTACTCGGTCCTCCGGAAACGCTGGTCAGCGACAATGGTCCCCAGTTCACCTCGGCCGAATTCGCGAAGTTCTGTGCCGACTCGAGTATTGTACATCTGCGGTGCGCGCCTTCAATGCCTCAAAGTGATGGTCAAGCCGAGAAAATGGTGCGCACGATCAAAGATGCAATCGATTCCGATGGAGAGTCTCGCATGCTGCCACCGACGTTGGTCCTACTAGACCGACCCTCAGGATGTCGCGGCCCAGGAAATGCAAGGTTCCCGTTGATTACAAGAAACTCAACGGTTAAGTCGGGGAGGGATGTTGAGTCCCGACTTCGTTATTTCTGTGCCGCGGCAGAAGTCAGTCTCAATAAAAAAGCGGCCATTTTTGCCACGGGGATCTTTCTCCCCGAGCCGTCGCTTAGCACAGTCGAAGTGTCTCTTCGCTATACCGAGTCAGCATTCTAGACGATTCCCGAACCCAACAGGAAGGGTATTCAGGTACCCCTTATAAGCGGCTCATCGGACTTCACTGCTCATTCTGTCTCATTTGTTCGTTCAGTGCATGCTAGAAGTTCCTAGATCAAGATGTGTATCTCAGACGTGTCATCTCTTCCTCTGTCGACTCCCATTGACAACAAGAGATACTGCATCATGCCCAAGACGACCAATCGCGACGCTCTAAAGCCCCAGGCCATCGAGGTGCCGCTCTCCGAACGTATCATCGAGCCTGGTGAGAACGTGTTGATGGGGCAAAGTGTGCGCGCTCCTCATCACGATTTGATGCTGGTCTCTGCAGAAGGCAGAATCCTCCGCTGCCAGAGGGGAGTTTTGGTGAGATGCAGCCGGGGCATCCGAGACTTCCTCAAGCAGTCTTCCGGCTCTTCCGAGTCCCCCTTGTTCCTCACAAAGGTCTCCGCAGAATCGCTCGGGAAGATTCTGCACTTTCTCCTCCGCGGGAGAATGAGCCTGAGCGCCGAAACTGTGCAGCCAATATTCAAGGCTGCGCTACACCTTGGAATCGACAGTGTTGTTCGAGTGTGTACGGATTTCCTTCGAGCGCGACCGATCGAGTTTCTGGACATCATACTACATGTAGCTCGATGCCACCGGGAAGTCGAGGATATCGCCGAAGAAGCGCTCAGATCCGTGTGTAGATCTCCCCGGGAGCATTGTCAGACCCTGGCCCGCCTCGATGGCTTCGCGCTCTCGAGAGTCCTCGTGCGGGACGATCTCGAAGTTGATTCGGAGGAGGAAGTCGTCGATCTGGCCATCCGGTGGAGGAATCAAGGAAGACCTCGACTGCTCGGAGAAATTCACTCAGTTTTCTCGGCAGTACGCCGAACTTGCCTCAGTACTCGGAGGTGGGCTGGAATCCCGCGCTTGATGGCCACATTCGACGACATTTGTCATCTGACCGAGAATGGGATCAAAACTTCGATTGCAGCTAAGGGCCCGAGAAGTTCCGACGCGCCAAAGAAGTCAATGGAAAATATTGCATAGGTATTCGAGCGCGACATTCATATTGGAAGCATGGGACACCAAGGACGGAAAACAATAAAGACAGATTGAATGATGGAAAATTCGACCTTTTATTTACCAACTGGATCCCATGTCCAGCCGACTTTAGATCGGCGCCCCTCTTGCTTCAAGCGACATTCTGAAGTTCATGAGTTGATTTTCACGTTGAACCCCGTTAACCCATCGGGGGAAAATATCGATTTTTTTGCAGCTCCCCCGAAGGTCTCGATGCGACCACTCGGCCGCGGAGGTAGCTTTACGATGTGTTGGGCGGCAATGGATTGAATAAAAAAAAATTCAGAGGTAGCAGCAGAGCCACTACCGTGTAGAGGACGAGAAACGTCTTCGGAATGGCCATTCGTGAGACTTGAGCATCGTTATTATTTCTTTAAACTCAGCTCCTACCCGAGCGCAATGGAAATCTACGATCGCATAGGTAAGCAAGGGTGGGTTAGCTCCCCAAGGAACCATAGGCGATCGCAGACGTCACAGCTATGTCAGAATCCATTGTCTAGGAATGATCGTTTGAAGCGAGTCGTGGCTCGTTGCCATGCCTGCGTGTAGGTCGCGCTTCGGGAAGGTCCGATGTCGCTGACATCGGGAATTGGGAGTCACCTCCATCGGACTGACTAGCGCATCAATGCCCATATTTCTTTGACTCGTATGTGGTCTCGCATTGCTATGAGACTGGCTCACCGTATTCAGTCGACGCGCCCGCCATTGCGCTGCCCTTTCAGCGCCTGTACGAGGCCGTTTACAATCACTAGGAGTTTTGGTCCGTGAACGATACTTCCGACGTCTGGAACTGGCTCTTTTGGGTCTCATTATCACCGGTGAAATCGAACTCTTCACCGAAGTTGGGAAAATATCTTCTTTCGAGTGGAAAATATCTTTTTCTAAGTTTTGTTACGCGCGCTCTGTAAATCGCCCCCTCCCCAGAAGAGCAGCCATGTTCTCGGGAGAATAGGGCGTATAGGGTGTCATTCTTGCCTCCAGGAGTTGATCTGTGTGTATGCGAATTCCGTAGGAAGTATATGAAATTGAATTGCCGTAAATTTGCTATCTAAAGACACCAACCGGGTGTCGATCGGTGTAGAAAGCACGGAGCTGCAAGGCGTCGAAAATGGACAAGTTTCGTCACACTTTTGGTGAAATACTAGGCCAACCTTTTTAAAGACGTTTCACGTCAAAATAGTCTTTATCAGGATTCCTTACGTTCTCGACTTCTTATTTCGACGCCAGGCACACTAGACGTGAGAAAGTCGTTCTGTTCTCTCTCTCGCCCAAAGATGCGGCTGACGCGACATTCGTCCTTCCTGAGCCCACCCGAACAACTTATGTTGGTCTTTCGTGTCTGACCAAGAAATTCGCGAGCTCATCGGAGGGGCTTGCGAGCAATCGGAACCATCCCGCGATGTCTAGGATTGGAATCAGTGCCGGATTTCCACCTAGGCTAGTGAGGCTATAGTCTCAGGCGGCAGATTTCGGTGAGGAAGGGAATCGTCACAGGGTGGTGGATGGATCCCGCGCTCAGTGGCCTTCCTCGGAGATCCGAGCGAAGAAGTCCAAAAAAATTTCACGCTTCCCGAGAAGCTCCTGAGCTCCCTAATGGCGTATTCTTCGCAGCTCAGAATCTGGGGCCTCGAATCGCGATTTCATCATTTTCCGGCTCCCAGAAGATTCGGATGGTAAGAGATAAGGGACAGCGTAAAAGTCATATCCGCTTTTTTTCGTGGAATCAATCTCGAAGCCTTGAGGGTCGACGGGGAAAAGGGCAATGTTGCTTGTTCGCTTGCGGAAACTAAAATATGGAGGAGTCATCGATCATATATTCTTCTGAACCTCAACCCCTCATCAGAGAAATTATTGTTGAACGGGATACCAGTATCGTCATCTCCATGGGGATTATTTGAGCTCGGTTCTCCGTCTTGTATATGCCCGAGGCTACTTCACCGAGGATGCCCGTCGCATTGCGGAGCTTTTCTCTTGCTCTCCGAACACTTGCCGGTGTGCTATCAGCGCCGTCGTGAAGCCCATGAAAAATAGGCATAGTTGAGCTCCGATCAAAAAATCGTCGTGGACGTGATCATGGGCAACCTCGACAGCACTGAGCCTCGATTTCTCCAATGACGGGCCTGAGGGCAAAGTCAAAACGTTCGTACATACCGCAATCCTTCATTGGGCTACAGCAAAGGGTTTCAAGGCAATCAACATCGGCGTCGCATGGACCGGAATTGCGGCGAACCCCCTGTCGGAGAGCCGAACGGTTTTTATTGAACATCCTCTCCAGTTGATGTTGACAACAGCCGGTCTTAGACAATACAGCGTCACGCCACGGAGGCTCAGACACGCTTCCCACTCCTGTACGCCGTTGTGATGTTATCGTGGAGGTCCCCCCGCGATTTTCCAACGAGATGACGCCATCGAGTTCACCTCCTCGTGCACTCCACTCGGAGAGGGCGCATTAGGATGCTCCTGAGGAACTCGGACGTCGTGGAGGGTCTCTCCATCGGGACTACACTGATTGTGTCGTAGATTTGGCGTGAATCATAGTGTGGGAGGAGACAGAGGGAAGGGGAAGCGGTGATCACTCCGAAGATCGACTGCTGCTATCCACAGCGAACACTTGGGACTCCGTCGCCGCCAAAACCCTATCCGCTCGAGTTTCTCCATGTCCATCAGTGATCGGGGCCAGTTTTTCGACCGCGACGGTATTGAACTGAATGAACAGATTTTCCCTCCTGGCCGAACATCTATGTATGTTTGTGTGGCTCTGTGTCGAGCGGTGAACTCTTCGAAGATCAGCCTTTCCGGGCCTGGAAGCTCTACGAAGCTCTAGCTAGAGAGCTAACTGGGAGCACCTCTGATTGACTCTCTTTCGAACTCACTTACCGGACGCTCCCGTATCACTGCGGGTGTTGGAACCTGCCGACCGATCTGCTGACTATATATTGCCATGGTCATCGATTCCGCCGCCATTCTGGCAGAGATTTTTGCATCCGGAATTCTAGCATTTGAGACTCCGGCATCGGGGACTCCGGCATTTGAGAGTATCTCGGCACCCTCCGGGCTGAATCTGACGCGGTGTTCACCTGTCACTGGCTGATCGATACTCGAGCAACAGCTCTCAGGTTGAGCCGCAGTTGCTGGGTCGGCCGACAACACCTGTAACACAGCGTCAGAAGTCGATTTCGATCCCCGCTGGCTTCATGCGGAGCTAGTACCCCCCGAGAGCTTTCTGGGGAATACGAGCCCGTACGTCGATCGAGTGCGGAAGAGAATGTAGGCGCCTTGGAACCAATATGCCAGGATCAAGTAGCCTGGGGGAGAACGCCGGCGAATCATTCCAAGCGATGAAAGTCATACAGGTACAAAGCTTCCAGATATCGCGACCCCCAGCCGGAAATCGACGCGGACTTTTGTCGACCATTTATATTTCGACCATCCGGCCTATTGCGGTTCGGGCAATCCCAGAACTGGCCAAAAGCTTGCGGCTCCTGCGGTCTTGGAACCATGGTTCGGAGTTCATCTCATGCCAATGAGCTGATTCGACCAATTCCGTACACTCAGTCTCGATGACAAATCGCCCCGGCCGGAGGCTCCTGCAATATCTACGTCGCCAACGAACGAAAATATCTTTAGTGAGAGCGAACCGAATCCGAATTCTACCACTCCAGAAAAGCTGCACATGCCCATTCGGATGGGATCGGGAAGTATTCGTATACCACAAATGTTCATTCTTCCAATTAGATCGTTTTTCTCGAACACACATGCCGAATGAGCAGTT